AGTAAGTTCTTGTCAAGTACTTACAAGGAACTTTTTTTTTTTAAATCTTTAAAACTCAAATACTTTAATAAAACCTTAAATAAAAATATGAAATTATATATATATATATATATATATATATATATATATATATATATATATATATATATATATATATATATATATATATATATATATAAATATATATATATATATATATATATATATATAATAATGTATATATATATACATATATATATATATATATATATATATATATATATATATATATATATATATATATATATATTAATGTATATATATATATATATATATATATATATATATATACATATATATATATATATATATATATATATATATATATATATATATATATATATATATATATACATTTTAAAATATAAGACTTAGTAAGTTCTTGTCAAGTACTTACAAGGAACTTTTTTTTTTAAATCTTTAAAACTCAAATAATTTAATAAAACCTTAAATAAAAATATGAAATTATATATATATATATATATATATATATTTATATATATATATATATATATATATATATATATATATATATATATATATATATATATATATATATATATATATATATATATATATATATATATATATATATATATATATATATATATATATATATATATATATATATATATATATATATACATATATATATCAACTATAGCATATTTATACGCGCAATTGCTAACTTTTTTTGCAAGCCTAAATTAAGTGAGCGTTTTTAACAAAAACGATGAAGGAAAACGAAGAATAATGAATGAAAATGTTGCTGACCCATATCAAACCCTCAGTCGATGTAGCAGCACTCCACTGCGAGTCAGGCTATTTGTCAGTCGATGTATGTACTGATATATATTAGGTATATGAAAAAAAAACTTTTTTCAAAATTTAAATTTTCCTGATGTTGCATTTGATGAACTTTTACCAATAGATCACTGTTTTGATGTTTATTTCATTGGATCACTAAAAAACCGCCTGCACCTACCACCTCACCACTTTTAACTTTTTAGATTTTTCACTTGAATTTGTTCCCAGTTCATACTTCCTTATGCTTGACCATGCTTGACTATGCTTGAATATAACTACAAGTTGGAGAGCGTCAAACAGTTTAAAAAATTAATTAACATAATATGAAAAAGTTCGATAGTTATAAATTGTTTTTATGTCATGTAACTCAATTTTGAATAACAAATTTTAACGAATGTTTTTCAAATTAATGCGCGTTTGTTGTTGTTTGTTGTTGAGTATTTTTTAATGTTCACGCGATTAAAATATTGAGTAGAAGTATTTAAAAAGTTTTTTCATTATTTGGACATTTGGACAAAACAAGGAATGGCATATCTTTGGTATACAAATACATTTTTACCAAACCTTGAAAGTAACAGGCCACAGGTTTTCAAAAGTTCATGGCCATGACTCTCACAAATCAGTTGAGTTATTATCTATTGAAAACAATATTAAAATTGTTGAGATGCCAGCACATTACTCTCACTGGTTGCAGCCTTTAGACCGTACTATGTTTGGTCCTATGAAGACTTACTACAATACTTGTTGTCATGATTTAATGAATACATACTCTGTTACAATCAGTAAGTCTAATTTCTGTGGATTGTTCAAGAAAGATTGGAATCAAGCCTTAACTGCCGCTTACATTGATTCTGGTTTTCAATCGTGTGGTATATTTCCCTATAACCCTTCTGCAGTTCCATATGAGGCCTATTTGCCTAACTGACTTCACTGAGACCAGTTATTAGAGAATAAGAACTTGCTTAAATCAAGTTTTGATTCCTTCAAAAATGATATTATGAATTATCAATCTGGAGTATCACTAAACACAACTTTTGAAAAACAGGAGGATCCCAAATTGTACTTTTACAAATAATGTTGATACAACTGAAGTTATTGGCATCTTGTCTGGATCAGAAATTTTGAATGTAGATTTAGATCAATTAAATAATAACACAGCATAAATGTTATGGAATAGTTGCTTTACTCTAGAGTATCTGACTGCTTTTAATTTCTGTTATTCAGAGGTAGAAAGTAACGGATTACAATTTCTCGCGTTACTGTAAATTACAGTAGTAGTTATTTTGAGAATTTCTACTTTTTGAGTATTTTTTTAAATGGGTACTCTTACTTTTACTTAAGTGCTTTTTTTTAAAGTGTTGTACTTCGCTGCATTTGAAATCATATGCGTTACTGAGTAAAAAAAATTATAATGTATTATTTTTTTTTTTTGAGTTTAGCTCACTTTAATGAAAATGACACTTTTTTGTTTAGAAAAAAATTTTTTAGATTTAATTTAATTGTTTAGAAAAAAATATTGAGCGCGCTCACAACAAGTTTTAACTGCTTTAGTTTGGTTTCTTTTCACTTTTTATGACCATAAAAAAAACATTCTGTGCAAAAAAAACTTTTTTTTGCACAGAAAAGAATAGACTACGTGATTTTTGTTTTTTTATTTGACAGCTCTGTTACTGAAAAAGTAACGCAGTAACTTTTACTCTTAGTACATTTTTAATAAACTACTTTTGACTTTTACTTGATTAAACATTTCGCCCGGTAACATTTACTTGTACTTGAGCAAAGTTTTACTCAAGTAACAGTACTTTTACTTAAGTACAATTTTTTTTTACTTTTTCCACCTCTGCAGTTATTAAAATGGTTTTTATATTTCTGACAATATAAATCAAAATGAAATCAGTAATGTTTCTTTTGATCTCTCATTAAGAGAAGCTGCTGTAACAATTACTTTATCAAAAGAACCTGTTATTCACTCTGTCTCTATACCAAGTACTAGTTTTTATTCTTCTAGTCCAATATCTGTTAAAACTAGTTCATTGAAAAGTACTATTTACAATAATCATGATGTTCTCTCTAACCTAAATTTTTATGTCGATAAGTCACAAAACAATAGAAATACTAAACAAAAGTATTTTGTTTTAGCTTCTCCTGAAGCTATGCAAGCCAAGTTAAATGATCTAAAAAAGAAAGAGGAAAAGGTTGAGTCTGCAAAAATATAAAATTTGAAACAACTTGTGATAAAAACATAGATATTAAAACTTCAACAGGATTATATGTTTTAAAGAAAAGAGTGTCTACTTGCAGGTTTTTCAAGTGCGAATAGACTATATTTAGTTATGGTCTATACGCATGTTTTGATAAAAAAAGGTAAACATCATTAAATTTATAGGGAATTTAAAAATTAGATTTATCATTATTGGTTTTTAACTTTAAAATTAAGTTGAAGTACTAATGTAATACTTACGTTGGGTGACTTGTGAAGGATATGCGCACCATAGTGTATATACATATTGACTGCTTATCTAGGGATAGGCACATTGTGGTATATTTACAATGATGAGGATTTGGCTTGGGAAGACAACCTTTTAATTAAAAAAAGAAGTATATCCTAATGTTTATTTTACCTATTTGCACATTTTTGTTTGTTTTTAGAATAAAAGTTTAAATATGTTTAAGTAATTTTATTTATTTTTATTATAATTGATTAGAAAAAAAATTAAATTGCTTTTAAAATATATGGCTTAAGTTATAAACATTTTTTGTTTGTGAGAGATTTCATATCAAAAATCTAATATAAAAATTTTTCATACGTGCGAATAGACTATAATCAAAGATAGGCCACAGCAACATATTTGTTCCGGTAGACATTACAGAAAAAGGCCAGACAAAAAAATCATCTACTCTTAGCAAAACAATAAGAAAGTAATTATATGTTTATTATACATTTTCACTGTTAGCACAATAATTACAAATTTATTATATAATTTCATTATAAACATGAATTTGGCATATGCAAGGTGAGAAAGCTTTTTACCATTAGTGTTCTGTCTACTTTTCTAGATATTTAATCGCTCCAAAGATTATTATATCTCATTCGAATACATCTGTTAAACAATCATTATTTTACTAAATTTTAGTTATTTTTCTCTCCCAGGAAAAATGTTTTTCACACATATGAAAAAAGTTTGGCCGAGTTTTTTTTTTAAACTTTTTTTGTTATTATAAATATTCATTTAAATGCAGTTTTCAGAACTAATGTAATAAAATAAACACTATAAAGTGAAAGTCTCGAAAGTAAAAGATTGTTTCGATACCGTTTCTATGATTTTGATAATATCAAAATATTTTGATGCAAATAATAGAGATTCAAAAATGAAATATTGCAATATTTCATTTTCCAATCTCTATTATTTCGAAACTTTGAAAATTGAATTGTAATATTTTTACATTATCGAAAACTTACAAAAGGAATTTTTCACTTTCGAAACTCTATAATTTGTATCGAAACATTTTTATATTATCGAAATTCGATAATTGGCACCGAAACATTTTATCACTTTCGAAACTTTATAAATTGTATCGAAAAATTTTTATGCGATTTTAAAAATGACTCTGAAGCAATGTTGCTTCAGTGCCAAGTTTTTTTTATCGAAAACTCAACTTTTGCAAATGTGAACAACCCTTCTTTTAATCATGTTTTAAAAAGTTCAATGTTTTTATATTATTTGGATTTATTACTACTTCTTTAAATGAAGTTGAGGAATATTCCTTAATTTAAAATATGCATTTACTAATTATACTGTATATGCATTAACATTTGAAAACCATGGTGGTAAAATTGCTTATTGATGTGTTGAAAATAAAACATGAAAAACAATATTGAGAAGGGCGGTCTTTACTTATAAATCTTAATTAAGTACAAGCTACATATATGAAATAAATATGTTTTTTTATCATTAACAACTATGTTTTAATTGATTAATTATTTAAATGATAAACAAATTTTACATTTGCATGCTATGCTGAATTAGTTCACACAATGGTTTAAATCAAACGTTTATAAATAAATAAATACTTAAAAACTACCTTTAAATAAATTATTACTTTAGTTTGTTACCAAACTTTTTCAATGGACAATGATTTATATTTGTGTTTAATGTATATAATTACAAACACTTTCATTATCATTAAAATGAATTTAAACATTTTTAAAGGATAAAACTATCGAATGCTAATTTAGTAACACGTTTTTGAATTATAGATTTTTAAATTTCAAATATAGCCTAAAACATAGCCTAAAAAATGGTAAACTATTATCATGTAAGTTTTAATTTTTTTATACTTAAGTAAAATTTATTTCAGTTGTATTTAAAATACAATTGAAATTATAAACTATAATAAAGTATTTTAAATGTATATTAAATATATACTTTTAATATAGTATTATATATATATATATATATATATATATATATATATATATATATATATATATATATATATATTATATATATATATATATATATATATATACATACATATATATATATATATATGTATATATATATATATATATATATATATATATATATATATATATATATATATATATATATATATATATGCATAAAGCAAAAGATAGTCAAGCCAGTGAACAACGGTAAGTCTTTTTTTCTCAAATATTTATTATCAAAAATATTTTTCTTATGTTTTTTTAAAAAATACACTAATACAAAGTATTTTTATATAATTGATTAAATAAATTTTAAGCACTGGAGGCCTTTCAGTAGTGCTGTTATGGTATTATTGAAAAATTTTTGTATACAAAATAAATTTAATTGCATATTGTTGCTATGAGTAACTATTTTGATAAATTCAGTTTTAATAATACACAGGAAGTATCAATTAAAAGTATCATGTTTTTGTTTGTGCAGATGCTTTTTGTATGATAACAAAAACTTTTATAGTTAAGCACAAGGAAAACAAAAAGTTGAAAAAAAGGTTCAATTACATTTTGGTGATAGCGTTGACAGGTATAAACGTGGTTGTCAAATCTGTTTGTGGATAGGCCAGTGCTGCAACTAGAAATATGTCCATTTATTCGTAATCTTAAATTGTTAGTTTTTCCAGTATATGTGGTTTGTTTTTTGCATGCCAAACATTTAAGGTAATTAACTACATTTTTGCTGTTGGAAGTGATGTGACTTTTTATTTTCCAGATAGTACCATTAAAAGTTTCGAACTCTTTTACGTCTTGAAGGTAGAGTTTGCTTATTTTAAATCGATTGCCTTTGCATTTGAATATGCCAATCTTCTTATTATTCGCTTCAAATTTTGAAGAAGTAAGTTTTCTTAATAATTTAGGAGGTTGTTTAAAAGCTAATTCCGGATGAATATTAGAAAAAACATTTTTGACTCTTTCATTCTGAGATACTTTGAGTAAAAGGTTAGTTTCTGTTATTAAAGGTTGACAATTGAGATTGCTATAGAATGTTGTCACTAAAGGAATTATTTTTTTAAACTTCTTTTGTGACGCTGGTCTTTGTAGTTTTGCGTTATGGAATGCTTTATCTATAATTACTTCAGGATATTCACAATCTTTCAACTACGACTTTAGTTCAGCTAGACGAAGTTTTTCAATTTCGTATTTAGATGTAAAAACAATTTCGCTAAATTATAAGGAACTATTTTTCGCTAAATAATAAGGAATAATCTTGTTGATGTGTAATGGATGGTGGCTGTTATAGTTTTAAACAGTCATGAGTGTTCGTTTCTTTATAATAAATGTCTGTTTGAATTTTTTTATAGTTTTCAAGAGTAACTGCAATGTCTAAAAAGTTAATTACACTGTAGGTGTTATCATTTTTGGAAAACTCTTTGCCAAAATCGGTTGTAAAAGTAATTGATTCATTTAATTCAGTTAGAGAAATTTTAAAATTTATGATATCAAGATGTTTTGGCCAGATTATAAAACCATCATTAATATATCTAAAATAAACTTTTTTTAAATCATCTACTTCACGGTTTGAAAAATACTGAGGTAAAATTACTGTAAAAAGCTTAGTCTCTTCTAGAAACCCAATAGTAAGACAAGCATAATCTGGCGCGAAATCGGTACCCATGGCTGTACCAGTTGTTTGGTGAAATAATTGTTTATCGAGTAAAAAATTATTGTTATTTAAAATAAAAAATGCTAATTCAATTATAAATTATGGTGTAAATCTTTTATCTATCAATTCTTTATATTTAAAAATCCAGATCTTTAGGGCTTCTAAACCAAGATAATGTGGGATGCTTAAGTAAAGATTGATAATGTCGCATGTCATTATACGACTTTCTGATTCAAATTCTTTTGGAATTAATATGAGGAAATCCCAATCATCTTTAATGAAAGATTTTTGTTTCTTTACAATTGGTGATATATATATATATATGTATAAATATATAAACTTATATATATGTATAAATATATAATATATATATATATATATATATATATATATATATATATATATATGTATATATATATATATATATATATATATATATATATATATATATATATATATATATATATATATATTTATGTATATATATGTATAAATATATAATATATATATATATATATATATATATATATATATATATATATATATATATATATATATATATATATATATATATATATTAAATGTATATATGTATAAATTTATATATATATGAATATATATATATATATATATATATATATATATATATATATATATATATATATATATATATATATATATATATATGTATATATATACATATATATATATATATATATATATATATATATATATATATATATATATATATATATATATATATATATATATATATAGTGGTTTTCATAAATTTAGACGCACTCATATTTGAGAATAGAAATTTTTAGTTTTTTAGCGATAAAACAATGACGAAAAAAGATTTCGGTTTAGTTTTTTTTCTATTTATCAAATAAATACATACAGAATACAAAATTTAAAAAAAGTTTACAAAAAAAATCAAATACTAAGTAATAATTAGGTACAACTTTATGGTATTAAAAAAATTAGACTAAAAAAATTGTTCATAAATTTAGACGCACGATACATTAGAAGGCGTAATTTATGAACCAATCAATATTTTGTGATCCGCCTTTTGCTTTAATACAACTAAGAACTCTTCTAGGCAAAGACTCGACAAGATTTTTGCACATCGCTTCTGGGACCCCATACCAGGTCTCCTTAAGGAATTTTCTCCTTCAGCTGACCAAGTGTGGAAATTTGAACTTTTGCTAATTCACGATCAATCCAAGCCTAAATGTTTTCAATCGGGTTCAAATCAGGTGAATATGGAGGCCACGGTATTGTCATAATATTATTATCGTTGAACCACTCCTTTGTATAGTATGCAGTATGTGCAGTAGCGCTATCTGGTTGATGTTTCCATGGTTTATCATTGAGCATAAGCAGGTCAATTGATGGAAATAGGTTGTTTTCCAGTACTTCTACGTATATTCTGGAGTTGATTCTTCCGGTGTATGTTTGGCACATACCAACACCTTTGTAATTGAAGCATGACCAGATTCCTATCGAGCTTCCTCCACTTTGTACAGTTGGTCTAATGTACCTGGCGTAATAATTTTTGTGAGCCATTCTTTTGACTGTTATGTTAGATTTGCGACTGATAAGCTCAAAATTACTCTCATCACTCCACATAATGTTTTTCCATTGATCTATTCTCCAATACTTTCTTTCAGGACACCATTTTAGTCTCCTTTGTTTATCATATGGACGCAGAAGCGGTTTCTTCAAAGCAGTGTAGACTCCAATCTTGTATTTGATAAGTATTCGGCAGACTGTGCTTTGAAAAATAGATGTATTTCGCGTTGTATTGAATTCTGTGGTCAATTCTTTGTCACTAATTCTTGGATTAGCTCTGACAGCTCTAAGAAGAACACTATCGTCCTTTCTCGTGGTTGACAAGGGTCTACCTGGCCTCGTTTTCTTGCTGACACCACCAGTGTGAAGAAAGTTTTGTTTCGTTGTCCGAACGCATTTCTCAGAAACTCCAAATCACTTAGCGATTTCTCTATTACTTTTGGTTCCTTCTTTGATGTGCGCAATAATTTGCCATCTTTCACCCTGAGTGATACGTCTTTTGCCCATTTTTTACGTTTTTTTAGTGCAAAACTAACTCAACTTCTGTTTATTTATTAAATAATGATTAACTATTTCCAGGTAAGTCATATTTATAAAAGGTTTTTTGACAAAATCAATTAATTTAGGCCTATTAATGAGAAATATAAGAAAAAAACTACTAATTAACTATCAATTAACAAGATATAAGACTTTTTTAATTGTGCGTCTAAATTTATGAACAAAATAAAATCAAGTTTATCAATTAAATTTTTTGTGTTATTCGGTATAGAATGAGTAATAAACATCCTGTAAAAAAAATTAAGGTACTCTATAATAGAGTTTCATTTCCTCTTTAAAATTATAAATTAAACATAGCGGTAGCACTTTTATTTTATTTTTATTTTGAGTATTTTCTTACATATATGAAAATTTATACATATATATATATATATATATATATATATATATATATATATATATATATATATATATATATATATATATATATATTCTGAAACAGTATAATATAATCCATAATTTATACTAATATAATGTAATCTTCAAAACTATATAATATAATATACAAGATATGCATAATTATGAAATCAATAGCATTGAAAGAACCAAAATTTTATGACTTGAATATTCAACTATTGCCTTACTAAGAAGCTCTTCATGGTTCTCTTATGGAATTCTTAAGTTAAGAATCTGCTTTCTGTTTTTAACATAATATGATGAACAGATTCAGAACATTGCTCAGAAAATTCTCCCAATGCCAGCTTAGTTCTATTTAAAAACATAACAAGATGTTGTTTAACTATATGACCTTTCCATTTCATTGAAAGATTGTGGTTGAATGTAGTCTTACATATTCTTTGTTTTTCTAAATTAATAATTTAAAAGATGGCACTTAATATAAACAAAAATTAAAACTTTAAATGTATTAGTTGTTTATGCATTTATGTAACTATATTATTATATTAACTTTGTTTATTATACATTAATATATTTTAATATATTATATTTTATATAATTTTGTTAATATATTAATTTATTAATATATTAACTATAATAATATATGTAACTATATTAACTTTAACTTCATTATATATGTTGCAATGGCATCAGCATAACCGTCATGGAGTTTTATTCCGAAATGGTAAGAAAAAAAGTTTACTAAAGTAGTTTTCTCAAAATCTGGCAAAAGCTTCCGTATCTTTTTAGCATTTCTACTATCCAGTCCATCTCTGTTTTACCCATGCCAAATAATTCCATGTTTTTTTTTATCCAGAGAGCAATATCAGGTTCCTTACAGAAGACATTTGAATTTTCTGTTATGATCTTCATCATTATATAAAGTTCTTGAGGAGGGATGACATCAGGCACATACATCTCTCCAGACTCAACCAGGAGACAGGGATGTATTGCATTCTTGTAGAGTTGCTTAGAGGTTTTTTTTAATCCACTTTCAGCAAAGTTTTTATACTTGTTTTTAACCATATTAAAGGTTCTCAGTTCTCCAAGAATAGTTTTATTACCATCACAAAATAAACATGAATATATTCCCCCATATCCTGACAAACCCAAAACTATGTTGCATAAATGAAGATCTGAAGCATAGTAAAACTTTGAGTTTTTAGCTTTGTTTTTTCTATAAAAATTTGAAGATATGTGTGGCTTTCAAAAACTTTTTTGCCAAAGGCTAATATTATAATTTTGTTCACTCCAGTATTCTTGGTTTCTTTGGAGTCACAGTTTACTTCTTTGTTTTTTTAACAAATTCATAACAACTTTTATAGATCTTTAAGCACTATCTATTTCTACACGAATAATAACATTATCGATTTGTACTCCGCTAGCAATGCAAACATGATTAACTAGAGATACTGGATCTTTAACATACACTAGATCTTTAATGACAGTTTTAATAGTTTTTTTTTCTTTACCTTTATTTTTGGTAAAAATTCCACTTTCTCCAATGAGTAATAGTTATCTAAAGCATGTGACACTCTCTTAGTTTTTTTTGGAAGAATTAGATTCCACACCTAATCTATCCAAATCATTTCTTTATTCTATTGCTATTGAATCAAAAGTGTAGTCTGACATACCATGCTTTCTTTTAATATTATAGAAAGTCTGGGTAGAGATTTTAAGGGTTGGCTTTTTCCCAATCTACAGACTTAAAGAAGTTTCTTCAGTCGACAATGTAACAGTGTTGTCTACAATATTTTTAAATTGTTGAGTTTCTTTTAGAGGTTTTCTAAGTACTTGCACAACTGTTTTTATACCTGAAAACTTGTAAATATGTTTTAGGATTGCGTAAAAGTTTAGGTTTAAAAAAACTATAATTAAGCTTTTACCTGTTGTGATTAGTTTTTAGGTTCTGTACAATATCTCTCTTACTACAGGGATGTTGAACTCCAGATCCAATTTTCTGATAACAAGTACAACAAATTTTATTTATAACCTCCTTGGGTACTTCAGGGTCATTAATGTACATGTTTAATACATCCTAAATAAAAAAAAATATATATAATTATTTAAAATATAGTTACTTAAACTATAATAAAAGTTATAATTTTATAAATGTTTTAAACGTAAATAATTGAGCTACATATATATTCTTTATAAATTACCTGAAGGTTTATAGATTTGGATTTATCTCTTGATATGATACAGAGCGGAAAATCTCATGTTGACACTGTCTCACCAATATTTATAAATATAAACAAATGTTTATTCATATTATTTATAGCTTTTATTATAAGCATAAGTTAGTATAATTTAAAGTTTTACCTTTAAACCTTGGAAGTAATTTTATTCTCTCTGATGTGAACAACCACCTCTAAAGTAATTAGTGATAAAGTTTCTCCTTTTTTAGCTGGGTACAAATAAATCTTGCAGTTTGGACATAACCAAATAAGGTTGGAAAGATGTGTCAGACTATAGTTAGTATTAGGATACAGTTGAATCAAGATTAGTAAAGGATTTCCAGTTACCAGTTCAGTGGATTTTAAGTTCTTATCACCAGAGCAAACTCAAATAAGTTTTCTTGATAAGAAAAGATACCATAGTTTGTTTGGCATGTTAACTATATTCATTATGCTAGTTTTAATGCAAATAAATAATAAATATGTTAGATTTTTAACTAAAGATTATACATACATACATACATATAACATTTAGTAACACTTTGACAAGTTTTACTTTATTTTGTTATATCTTTTGATCGCCAAGATGCTTTTTATTAAATTTTTGAACATGTATCTGATGCTTGATTTTTCTAAAGTTAGCATAACTTTTTTTTAATAAATAAAGGCGGGTAAGGGGAGGGGGAAAAATTGCCCTGATCCTCTTTAAAAATTAATTTTCTCATCAGGGCTTACATCAAATAATTTGTTCTTTTCATAATATTGTCTGTATAATAGTCCTGAACACGTTGTAATAAAATTTTTTTAAGTAATAAATTTTCAACCTAAGCTCTTATATATATATATATATATATATATATATATATATATATATATATATATATATATATATATATATATATATATATATATATATATATATATATATATATATATATATATATATATATATATATATATATATATATATATATATATATATATATATATATATATATATATATATATATATATATATATATATATATAACACTTGATGATCTTAGAGTCGACAGCAATAAAATACCCGCGGAAAGTCGACACTGCAAAAATCAGTCTAACATTGTAAATTTTAATTTTTGTCCAAAACACAAAGGAATGGCTTCTTTTTCTCTTGGCAATTTTATATTTCATAACTTTAATTTGATTTTCAATATTATGTCGACTTAACGTTTTTGAGCAAATTTTTTTAGTTGTACGTCGACTTTACCCTATTTTTTTATTATATCTTCCTAAAGTCGACAATAAAAAAAAGTGGTTATTCTGGAAAACAATTCTTATAAATACAAAGGCCGGTATAAAGAAAAAATGCCTGTTTTTGTAACACAAGTATCACCGTGGCTTAGGAAATATCTTTTTTATATTTAAAAATCTTTTTAAGTCTGATTTTTGTTTTAAATTCTATTAAATTACATTTGAATATCGTTTATTCTTTGGGAGACAATTCGCATCTTTTTTGCTCTTTTGTTAGTGATTTTATATCTAACTGTACCGTAGCCAAACCCGTATTTTATTCCAAGTTCAGTCATTTCTTGTCGACCTATAATAGATAAAATATGTACTATATTTGAAAATAAAGATTACAAACATTTCTACTTTAATCAAAAGTAAAATAAGAGTCATTTTGTAATATTTTGTAACCTTGCAAAAAGTAATAAATATCAAAAAATGTTTATTAAATTTTTTAACATATATTTTTTCTTATTTTAACCTTAATTGCTAAAAATGATAATTAAAAAGATAAGTTGATGAAAATCTTAAATAAAAATCTTGTTTAATATACACTTACTTGGATATCCTATATTTGAACTAATATACTCCATAAACCTTTGAAAAAACGCACTCTCATTCTCGTTATCCCATTGGTTATATTTACGACCTAAATATATATTATATAACTTTTACAGCCATCCAGGAAACCTAAAAGATTGCACATATATCTAATTGTCTCAAATGCCCCAAATTTTACTCTTTCAAGGACAAACAGCCGCCGCAAATTCTAAGTTTGGACAAACCAACGACATATACAATAATTTTACTATAATTTCATCTTATGTCTGACCGTAAACTCAATACAATAAAATAAAAGTTTGAAACACATTTATTAAAACTTGAATTATCGAAAGTTGTCTAGTTATTATATAGAAAATAAAAAATTGTTTGTATTTAAATATTTTCTTGCTTTCTGTGCTCAAATAAATATAATTATATAATTGTTAATAACAAAAAAATATGAAAATAACTAATTTGGCTTCCCCAATTTAAATATCAGTTAATATTTATAGCAAAGGAGCTAATCCAAGGTTATAATACTTTTAAATTGTTGGGGCGGGGAAATAACGCATCTAACACCTCCACTTCAGCAGCTACAGAGATATGTCTAGTTTAATGTAATCTTAAATAAATCATTTTTTTTTTAAATTTAATGCGACCATTAAAATTAAAGTCTTTAAATTAAATAATATTAAAAAATTAAATAACTTAAAACAAGTAATACAGATATAAATTACAAAACTTGGACTAGTGCAATAAAAGTTATACCTGAGACAAAACTTTTTTTAGTTTTATTAATTTGGTTAACATTAGTTTTAAATTCATACTCCGATTCGCTTGAATTGCTTTCATATTCAGTAGAAGAATGATTTTCAAGACTTTCATTCGCAATTTCTGGAACTAGAGTACAAAGTAATAGAAAAAAATTATTATTACTAAATAAAAATATTCAGTATAAAGGAAACATTTAAAATACAAATAAAACATTATTTACAATAAATAAAAAAATACTAGATAACTAAAAATTTAAATAAGATTCATACTTGTTTATTCAAACTGATTGGAGTGCTACTTCGAACAGTAGCCTCAAGTTTTGCCTTAGATCTTGTTAAAAAAACTTTAGCTAGTTTTATTGGCTTCTCTTGTTTTTCTACAAGTCGATATTTCTGTTCTTTTTTATCAATATTTATTGTTTTTTTTTAAATCTTGCTTTACTAAAAAAAAAAAGATTTGTAAATATAAAATTAAAATAACTTTTGCTTTGGGTTGACATTTCTTTAAAAAAATTATTCAAACAAATTAAAAATATATTTATACATACAGGAATTTTGATCAATAGCTTCAAGATGTTTTCCTGTTGAGAGAAGCTGTCGATGAGCTGCCGGAGCTTGATATATTGTCTTGTTAATTGTTTCACAGTGCCCAAAGTGGTCATTTGCCAAACTCATTTGGGCATCTGAAACTCCTAAACCAGCCACTAGTGTAGAGAGTCGATGGCGATTATTTGTACCAGTAACTTTTGATTCATCTATCAAGTTAAGTTGCTTGATTATATTTTTTAGACTATGCCATCCAGAGCAGTGATAAAGTGAAGATTGTGTACTTGGGAAAATGTAAATGTTATTTGCTGAAAATCTAGCCTGAGTTCTAATATCGGCAGAACCTAACAACTTAATTGCTTCAATAGTATCAGTTGAAATTAAAACAGGAACTGAATGATTAACCTCTTTTCCAGTCTGATGAGTAATTTTCTTTCCATCTTCTAATTGACTTTCAGGTAGTGTATTTTTTATTCTTTGTTTGTCTAGCCATACATTATTCAAAGCATTTTTCCCATTCTTTAATTGTTAGTCTTGCAGGTTCACCACCACGCCTGCCATTAAAAATAGTTAATCGAGCACAAGCACAGTCTCTTAATTGAATAAAGGAATGTCCATCAATTATTTCATATTTGCAAGTCAGTTTTTCCATAGTAGTAACAATATGATTTTTTATAGTTTGAATATCTTCTTCCATTGGAAGCTGTGCAGGTTTTTTATGTTTTTCGTTTCTACGTTTATTTAAATCATAAACAGCGTCTGAAAAAATTTCATCTTTCATAAGCCCAAATATGTACAAAAAATTTGAAACTTCTTTAGACAAATCATCACGATTTGTCTTTAAGTAATATCCCATACATTTCTCAGCTGAGTCCTTAAGTAAATAATAGATGCCACTTTTTAAACCAGATTTTATCTTATCTTCACCTTTATCGGTATAATTTTCAATTGCTTTTTTTAAAAAGTCAATATTTCCTCTCAAAAACATATTAACAGAAATACCTTGCTCAATTGCTAACACTTTAGCAGGATATTCCGTTTTTTTAATTGTAAATCTATTATAAATGTTGGCAAGCCGGCGCATTGAGCACCTAACCGATTTCTCAACCTCCAACTTTTTATCAAACCTTCTTTAAATTTTACCATACAAGCGAGATCCTATCATCAAAATAATGCTTTCACTTTTAGCTAGCGTGCCAATTTCATCGTTATTTATGACATTTAAAATATTTAACTTGAAATCATTGTCTAAAGAATTATATTTATCTATTTTCCCAATTGCAATAGATGGTATTAGGGCTTGACAAGAATCTTCACCACATTTTATCTGATGTCTGGTTTTATAACTCTTTGCAAAGAAACCATTGCATTTTAAGCACATTAGCAAGTTGTTTGAATTTAAGAATTTTTCAGATTGCATATTTTTTTTGAAACGTTGTGCTCTTTCCTTTGAAAAAAACTTTGGATTACTGTTTTGAACTTCATTTAAGTTAAACTGATGAATCCCTTGTTTTTTAAAAGAATCAAATGCTTTACGACGCTCTATTTTAGACAATTTAAAAGCCTCACATATTCTAGGATCACTTTTATGTGTTAGAAAATGTCTTGAAAGTGCTGATTGATGCACACCACATATAAAACAAGGTCGCTTTTGTTTTGGATTACTTTTTTTAGATAGTTTATTGATTTCGTTTTTTGGTCTCACATGTGAATTGTTTAGTTGACTAACCTAAAAACAAACAAATTAACTAAACATAATAACATTAAATAATAAATAATAACTATTATTAAATAGCATATGAAAAAAAATTAACAACAAAACTTAAAATCAAACGAAAATTTCCACTAACTGCATTAAAATAAGACTAACAACAAACAAAACAAATAAAATTGATTATTAATAAATAACTTGATAGTAAACACTACTAAAAATATATTTTTTATTACTTTAAAACATCCAAATTTAGGATGTATATACATTTCTTTTGAATTTACAACCAAATTTTAAAAAACTCAACCTTTTCATCAGATGAGCTGTTGTTTGACTTAGAAGGTTCTGTAGTTAACAAATTTTCATATAATACTTTATTTGTATTTTTTACCAAAGCATAAGACTTTAAAAAAATAACAAATAACAGTAAAAAGCATAGATAACTATTAACATAGATACTATTCAATAATAATTTTTTTAATTAAAGTTTAGTTTTTTTTTTAATCTAACTTGAAAAGTTTGCTTTACTTGAAAAAAGAAACTTGCCATTTTACGTTATAAACTGATATAACACAGGTATATGTGTTGATAATGTATAAGGAAAAATTGTTTTTACAGACAAATTTTTGTTTTTTTTCTTATTTTTTATTTTCTATACTTCTTTAGTACATACCCCATGTCAAACAGTTTTACTCTTGATTTTCTCAAGTAAGATCTTGAATACTATTTATTGTATACTGGCAAGACTTGTTTTTTCTTCATAAACACTTAAATAACTTTTAAAAAGTCTAATATCAGGCATATCCGTCAAAAATATCTGGTATACCTCTAGTTTTGTTAGCAATTCTACAGCTGCTGAATCTCGCATACCATTTTTCACACTTAAAATTGCTTTTATAAACTTTTATTGTACAAAATTATATCAAAATTTTAACTTATTCTAAAGCAGATCTTTTAATTTAACTTAAAAAATTTTTAATAAAAAATTTACTGAAAATAAACTGTGAGTTATAATAACAAACTTAAAAAAACATTATTACAACAAAATCAATTTTCATGATTTGTGCTACAGTCATTCGTCTCTTCTCCACTTTCAAAAATTTCAAGGTCTTCATCACACATTTAACCAGAATCGTTAATAATAGATTTCTAAATATGATATATGAAATATTTAATTAAGAAAGTACTTGTTAAAAAGTTTTACACAAAGTCATTTAATCTAAAAGTTCACATGAATATTTTTAAGCTAAAAACTTTCTAAAAACCTGGTTTAATGGACCAAGGGATAATGGAAGAAAAACTTCACTCTCATTACTGCACTGATCTTCATCTACATATACACATTTTACTCAAATTATACAAAATGAAAAATAATCATGTTGGAAAAAATATCAACTCATTATTTCAAAAAAATTGTTTTAGATATTTTGAGACTTTGAAATAAGATTACCTGAATCGAAGACAACTAACTTTTTCCAATAGTCAGAGTCTGACGAATGAACTGGCGATGATGTAAACATTCTTAGTTCTGAATTATTGTTAATTGTTTTAAATTGAATTACTAATAAAATTAAATGAATAATTATTTTAACAAATATTGAAGTTGTCATTATATTTAATAAATTTTTTTTTTCCAAGGAAATAATAAAAAAAGTTTGAATTAAGAAACTTAGATGTTTTGAAAAAAGGAATAAGGAAACTTAGATGTTTAGAAATTGCTGATAACAAATTATACAGTTATATCATGTTATATCACAGTTATATCAAAGTTGTGCTTATAGAAATTTACCTGCTTATAATAAATGAAACAGAAAAAACCCACTTGTCAACTCTTGCAAGAAGTATTAAAGTCATCAAAAGAAGCAGCTATAACGAGTTAACATTAATAATTTAGTTAATATTTTACATATAAATTTTATATTGTGTATATCTATATAAGTATATAAATTATACAGTTATATATATATATTTATTATATATCTATGATATATTTATAAATATATATTTATTAGTACATTATAGATATATATAAATGTCTATATAACTTGGCTATATAATAATAAGGCTGTATAATAATAAGGCAGTATAATAATAACTGTATAATAACTTTATAATAATAACAGTAAACTGTTAATATATATCTATAATATACTAATAAATATATATTTATAAGTATATCTTAGATATATAATAAATAATATCTAGATACAGCCTTGTACTGCTGTTATATTTGACTTCTAATAAGCAGTTAAATATTCTACTTTGCAATAATAACTCCTAAATAAAAGCACCCATATATTTTAAAAAGTATATAATGGTTAAGAAATAGAATTCTCAAAGGTTGTGTACAAAATAAAAATGAATACCTTCGTTTTTTTATAAAACTCTAAACGAAACATTAATAAAAAAAGAAGAGTTTCCGGGAAAATGCTTTCCGCGTGGTAAAGAAATTCGCTTGTAACGTGAGAAAAAATGAAATTTATCAAAACGAATTTGTTTATCTCCTAAATTTCGTATATATGTTGTACTACGATTAATATTTAACAAAAAACTATAGAAAATTCAAATGAATAAATGAGTAAACATTTTAAGCTCCATAATAACATGATATATGCAGTTAAATAAATATATATATATATATATATATATATATATATATATATATATATATATATATATATATATATATATATATATACATATATAAATATATATATATGTATATATATATATATTTATATATATATATATATATATATATATATATATATATATATATATATATATATATATATATATATATATATATATATATATACATATATTTATTTATATATATATATATATATATGTTTATATATACAACATATTCAAAAGTAGGGTATTTTATTTTGAGGCTCTAATTGTCATAATTTTATGCATTAAATACAAGGACGGGTTTTATCTCGCACCGGGTGGGGTTGGGTGGGCTGCTAATTTAAGTTCAAAAGCTTATTTAGCAGTATTTTATCTATAATATTTTATTTAAAATAAAGTTTTTTTAAACTTGGTTACACTCTAGGGGGAAGCAGTTAAATGGTTTTGAAAGGCTTGTACGGAACTTGTTACCAAAGTCAAAGTTGGTTGAAATAATTTATAGACAATCTTAATTTGGTTTTAAGCATTATCCCGCGTGCTTGTACACATTAAGTACATTTGGGACAATTTTTTGCTCACACTACGCCTAATAAGACCACCTATTTATTTATTTTTATTAGTTAATAACAAATTTCTTTCACCAAAAACCATCTTTATTAACATATAAGTAATTACAAAAATGATCCGTTTATCTAAAAAATATATGCAGCACTACAAAAATAATTCGTTGTTTCTTTTTTTTTTAAATTTGAAAATTGTTCAATATTGTTATCTGTTGACACTTATTTTTTAATATGAACAAAAACTTTATCTAAACCATTCAATATATCTTGAGTCCTTTAAGATCGTAACCAATCTATTAACCTAAATTTAAATAATTTTAGTTGGAAAATTAGATTATTTGATTTTTAACTAGAACTTGTAATTTTTAATGCAGAAAAACTTCTTTCAGCTGATGCAATGCTAATAAAAAGACAGCCAATAATTTAAAGTATTGATTTAAATCTAGGGAACAATATTTATGGACAATAATCCAATTCAAATTTTAAGATATTTGGTAGATAAAATCCTAGAAATTGAGAGATTAATTATTATAATTTCGATAATTTAAACTAAAAAAATTAAAATGTTGTTTTATATTATATTTCAATTTTAACTCGAGAACATTTTACAATCATCAAATCTAGTTCTTTTTTCTACATAAATTAATGAGTCTTTTACGACAATATCTGCAATATTGGTTTCCGAAAAGGGCGTTTGGAGTTATAAAAAGCAACATAAAATGGAAACATACAGAGTAATAAATAGCAAATTAAAATGGCTACAAGGTTACCTTAAAAATAGAAAACAAGAGGTATTTTATAGTTCAACGTCTACAAAGTTATAAAGAATAGGCTTTCGAGGTCCTCAAAGCTCTCTTTTTGGAGCCTTAGTTTTTCTGATTTACTTAAATGATTTCTACCTATTTTCAAATATGCCTAATTTTTTTCTTTTTGCTGACAACACTAATCTTTTTTATACCCATTCCAATATAAAAACTTCTTTATATAAATTCCAATATAAAATTTTCTTTACATCAAATCGAGAGCTAAAAAACCTAAACGACTGGTTTAAATCAAACAAACTCTCTTTTAAAAACAGTAAAACAAGTTGTGTCACATGATAGAGCCGAAAATATTTATCCTCGAAAATATCACTAATATCAATATTTCACAACCGAATATTTTAGAACCGAAAAGTATACTTTCATTGCAGGATCGAATTACAAAATCCTTTCTTGCGCCGAAAGTTTTTAAACCGAATTTTACAACCGAAAAAATTTGGATCGATTTACAAAGTCCTTTCTTTTTTTAATCTATTTTTTTTTTTTATTAATTAGTCGTTTTACAATAAAATAAACAATTAAAATTTCTTTAAAATATATATACATATATCTTATACTGCTGAGTTAGGTGAGCATGATGATAACATACTCAGCTAACGTCAAATAGCCTGCTGCTGGGGGCTTCAGTACATATATCGACAGACAAAAAGCCTGACTCGCAGTGGAGTGCTGCAACATCGACTAAGGGTTTGGTATAGGTCAGCAACCTTTTCATTCATTATTCTTCGTTTTCCCTCATCTTTTTTTAAAAACGCTCACTTAATTGTAATTAATTAAATGTAACTTTCGGTTGTAAACCATTTTAATAAATTCGGTTCTAAAATCATTAATGACTTTCGATCGAAAATTCGATTGAAATTTTTTCGGTTTTAATTTTTTTCGTAAATATTTTCGGCTGTGTAATAAATTTCTCATATTCGGTTCTAAATTGAAATTAGAGATTCGGTTGAATCATAGGACGCCAAACAAGTACATTTTATTTTATCACCGGTCTAATTCTGATGACTTGCCTCTTCAACTTAGTTAGCTAATAATACATTATAGTATAGTAAACAGAATAGCATCACCTAAAATCTTAGGAATAATATTTAATAAACATTTTAATTGGAAAAATCATATTACGCTCATTGAATACAAAATTTATAGAAACTACAGGCATTATGCATAAAACAAAACCCCTAGTAAGTAGAAAAATCTTAAATAGATTTATATTACTCTTTTATCCTCAGCTACATAAGCTATTGTAATATTGCTTGGGCAAGTAATTACCCTTCAGCATTGAAAAAAAATATATGTTAAACATAAACAAGCCAGTAGAATAATATGTAATGTACATAAATAGCACACTCCACGCCGTTACTCCGGGGATTTAAAACTGTTAATGTCTAAAAGTTAAACGTGTTCCAAAACTTTTTGTTCATGTTTAAATATCAAGTTGACATTCTTCCAAAATCCTTTAATAACCGATTTCTGAAAACTATTCATAAATACTTAACGAGGTGCTCTATCCATATTTACATACATCTGATTACTCAATTTCATTTAGAGAACCTCGTCTGTGGAACATAGTTCTTAATGAAAATACAAAAAGTAAAACTTTAATAATATGTTTAACAAAAAAATATATTTAAACAGAATTTACTTGAATTAACAGACACAAACATATTTTAAAATACTTAAGAAAAAAAAAAAAAAAATTTATAATATTACTTACTGTATATTTTTAATTAATTTTTTGCAATTTATCGTATTTGTGTATTAACTTGTTTTATATAACGAGTATTTGTTAATTTATATAATGAGAAATTTGTAAAGAATACTTTCCGCTTGCTATAGCTTGATGATAGGACTTTTGTCTTCTACTTGCTCCTCTCGTCAATAATTTTTATATAAATTTTGTTGATGACAATTGTAAAACAAGAACGTTGTAAAATGATTATAAATGACGAATAAATATTTCTAATTAAAATTAATCCAAGAAAACAATTATTTTTACTAATCAATATCTTGTATTCTGATTTAAAGACTTAAATTTAAATGATATCCCATATCCTTAATAAGTTTTAATGTGGTCCTATACTAATAAAATCAAAATTTTACTCAAAATTTACATATAAATAATAAACAACTCCTAAAAAGTGCGAAAACTTTAATATTTGAAAAACATTCAACCTAAACAAAATTGTTTAATTAATCGCAAAATGTTTAATTTTATAATACAATATACAATTATTGATTTAGCCAGACGAATTCTAGATGGGTTTGGTAGCAAAAAATGTACTCTCGGCTTATTTCTTGATTTGTCAAATGTTTTTGACACTGTTAATCATGAAATTCAATTCACAAGCTAGAAACATACACAGACTGAAAAACAGCAACCTAAAGTGGTTACGATGCTACCAAAAAAATATTACTCATTAATAGTTAACGAGATGCTCCGTTTACAACTTTATTTTACTTAAGTCTAATCATAAAAAAAACAGATTCTTCAATTTCATGTTGAGGATCTTTTTTATGAAATAGAGTTCTTGATGAAAATATGAAAAATATAGCTTCAATTAATTCTTTTAAAAATTTTGTTAAAATGTATTAGCTCGACTTACCAGACACAAATATATTATTGTATTTTTAATAGATAAATAAAAATTTTAAAAATTCTTATATTATTTTGGATTTTTGGGAATTTCTTTTATTATTAAATTATTTCTTAAATACAACAAAATCTTGTTCTATTAAAGCTCTCTTACTATAATTATTATTGCTTTTATCTATTGATTCTATTGAAGTTATTTTATACTGTTTGATAATATGAGAAAGTAAATATTTATATACAGTGAGCTTGTGAAAGAAAAAAAAACACTTCAAGTTTACTTTAGAGGCTTAATGATAAGACTGCTGTCTTATCATCAAGCCTCTATTGTAAACGTGAAACGTAATATTCTACTTGCTCTTGTCATTTTTTTTTTTTCTTTTTTTTTTTTTTTGATTTATATTGAAGATTCTAAATAAGAACGTTGTAAAATGTTTATATATGACAAATAAATAAACAAATTTTATAAAAACGCATATATCACTTTCATTAACTACTTCAGTAAAACCAAATTGCACGAAACTGCTTTCTTCTTTGTTTTATGGAGTTAAGCGACTTTTTTTTCATCAACTTTATTCTTTCTTTGTATGAATTGGTACACTACTGTGTAGCAAGTAATCTACTTTGTATAACATTTAAAATTTAAAATATGCCTAATATATCAGAAATACCATTTTCAATTAAACATCAAAAATACCATAATTAATAAAATACTAAAAACCGTAAATAATTAAATATCAAAATTCACTTGCTACCTCTCTTATTTTTACATCAGCTACTCTTTGATATATAATAATTTTATCTTGAGTGCCATTAAATACTTTTATGTTCATTGTATCAGGTAAGCTAATTGAACAATAAAAGTTTTCTAAACCAAAATGAGTTCGTATATTTCCTATGACAAAGACAGATCTATAATTAATTTCAAATGGTGACAATCCAGAACCTTGCTTTTCAATCTCTTCGCTAGAATAAAAGACTTCTTCCAATTGCACGAAGGTATTTTACAAGAAATGTTTAAATATACAGATAGTTCTTTCTTTTTTTATATATCTAAATAAAAATCTATTTCTCTATGTTCTAAATGTCTGTGCAAATAAAATCAAGCGTGAACGCAATTCCTTTAAAGTAATAATTTTTACTATTATTATTATTAATATTATTATTATTATTATTGTTATTATTATTATCATCATTAATCTTATTATTGTTACTGTTATGCAATTAATTTTTGAAGATGTTAATGTCAAGATTTTTGATTAAGTTAAATTAGTGATTTTTAATTAAGTAATTAAACTATTTGTAATGTTGATGCTCAGAAAAAATAATTTCCATAAAATTAATATTTATAAATATCATGCTAACACCTACTTTTCTTCTTAAATATAAATCATGTTTACTTTTTCCCGTATTAAAAAAAGCACAAGGCAAATAAAGTAAACACAAGGCTTTTAGTTTTCTATAAGTAATATGAGTAAACGTTTTTAAAAGAAATTTTTAAAAATCATGGCTAAATCAGGAGAATAAATATGAAAAGTTAAACAAGTTAAAAAGTTAACAGCATTAACAACCCGTTGCTAATGCTGTTGCTAAGAAAAATATTTAACTTCATTACAAACTTGCTATTTTAGAGCACTCAAAAAATCACTTACTGAAATAATTTATAAATATTTTGAATGAAGAATGTTTGTGTTTTATGAATAAGTAGTTTTCATTTTTAGATAACTGAGAAGTGCACGGTATCCAAATAATTATGTTTTCTGTTTTACTATCCTGTTCTGATAATATGTGTTTTTGTTAAAATATGCAGAAACGTTGGCTTGTTATCTTTTCGTTGTTGTTGCTTTTTTACTATCTCTATTGAAATTGCTCATTTGTTAATTGTGTAAAACTTTAAAATACTGCTTGACACTTAAGTAATTGCACAGCAGAAACAATAATAATAATAGCAATAATAATAATGTTAATAATAAAACTTTAAAATATCACTTATAATTTTAAAATCTAAATTAGGAAATTAGAAATATATTAAGATTATTTTCAAATTTGACTCTATAACAACAATAAATTTTGCATGAAACGTTTAACATAACAAGTTTTTTTCTAAAACTTGTAATGTTATAGGTACGTTATAACTTTTTATAAGTCTACTTTTAAGCGGTGAGTTTCGTTTCATCCAGCCCAGATTTCGTTTCATTCAGAGTCTATGATAAGTTTGGCAACATTATTTAGAACTTCATAAGCCAACCGTATTTTGTTTTTTCGTAAACTAAAATAAAAAGATCTTTTTTTAAGATTTATTCATTTTGCATAAATCTTGAAAGTTAATAAACTTTCTTTTTTAATTCAAACTTTAGGTTTTAAAAACTATTTGCATTTTGATTTGTTGCAAGAAACTTAAAGGAGGTATTATTTCTTGTAATTTGTTGTTTAAAGTTTTTACATAGTTTTAAAAGTCTTTTAGTTTTGAAATCTAGACTTAATCCTCTTTTTCAAGTATAATTTTTTTTTTCCTTTAAAACTTTTAAAATTAAGGCAACAACCCAATATAGATTTGTTATTTGTCATAGATATCTTTTACTATATTGAGCCTTATGGACTTCCAAATTGTTATTTTTACATTCCTATTGGTTCAATACAAGTCACTTATAATTGCAGTGAAGGACACAAATTTCTGCTGGTGCCTGGTGATTAATTTGTTATTATTATTAGTTTATTATTTGAAAAAGATTATAGTAATGTTTGTATACTATTTGTACAAACAAGTTGCGAAATGCTTAAAACTATTTTAAGTAAACAATATTGAGTAAATTAAATTATTAATTAAAATAATGTTTTTATGCTAATTAAAAAGATTCATAACATTTAAAAGAAGGAAATGTAAAGATTGCTTGATTTTTTTAGTCGTCCGCAAAATGAATAGCAACTGTTAAAAATATTAGAGTACCAACATTCAATTACTTGTTTTTTTTCCGATTTAACATTTAAATCTCTTGTTATTTCAATTGACTGTCGCAGAATTAGAATGGACAAACACATTGCATCTTATAATTGCCAGATTATATGTTTGACTTAACTGATGTTTAACCTAATGCAACAAATAAGTTGTTTGGTTTTTTAATATTTTTTGTTTCAAATTTAAATATTAAAACAAAAAATATTAAATACTATATTTACACATTAAATGCTATATTTACACATTATTCAAAGTTTTAAGTATACACAAAACATTTGGAGAAAAAAACAAAACAAAGTCACAAAAAAACCTGAAAAACTAGCTAATTTAAAAAAAAAAAACGTTTTTGAAAACGAACAAAACATTACCTTTCAGATTGTGTATCATTGATATGATAAAGTAGTTTGAGTGATCAAAACTATTTGATAACTTTGAAGCAAGCTGAAATTTTAAAAACCCAACGAGTCACAAAATTAGAATTTTACTGGTGAGTGAAAAATGTTTCCTCTGTAAAAAATATATAGCTTATATAAAGTAATAAATCTTACATCTTAAATCAGAGAAATTTTCTATTCGAAGTATCAACTAACCTCACTTTTGAAGAAACTTTTAAATAACCTTACTTTTGAAAAAAGTGTGGTTCGTCATGATTACGAAATACAGCGTTCAATTATAAAGTTTGGAAGAAACATTTTGATTAACAGAGGTTACTTGATATTGTTGTGTCACAGATGGGAAATTCGAAGTCTTCTTGCTACATCAATAAAGTAAACATTTGCAGAAATGCATGAATTCCTAAACTCAACTAAGGTAACTTTAGACAAAAAATTGCATTGGTTTAAAATACTAATTAATAATGTTTTTTCCGGGTATCATTTTAACCGGACTATTTTCTTTAAAAATTAAAACTGATTTGCTTAGGTTAGGAACAATATCATTGATAATCCAAACTCTGTCAACTGTCAGGAACCTGTTGAGCTTGATGAGTGCATGCTGTCAAACTTGTAAAAACTAAAGTGTAACAAAAGTATAGAAAAAAGATCTTCAATGGAAGAGCATTATAATGAATGGTGGAACTCAGAAATCATGACAGAATATCGTTAGAGTTTGCAAGGCATTCTACCAAAGGTTGTTTATTCAAGGAAATCTTACATAAAAAAAATTTCGTATATTAAATTTTTAAGTTACATTTATATTAACTTCATTGTATTGTTTACTTAAAATAGCAAAACTATACATTTCAAACAGTCTAGCTGTGAGAAGTTTTTTAGTATTTATTCAATAAACATAACCATAGAAATATAAAAAGCTATACTAAGACGAACTATCTTGAGCAATGAAACAAACAGACAAGACTGTTTTAATTTCATTTAAATCGCTTTTATTCTTTGCGGAACTTAGAAAAAATAGCGCTACTAAAAATAAGAAGCTAAATTTATTATAAAAATGAATGACTATAAATCTCACTGAGCAACACCGTCACAGAAGATAACAAGAACATATTATTAGAACGAAACTTACAGAAAAAATTAAAGACAAACATCAAAACAGTTACAGTAGTTAGCATTTACTTCATATGTGTTGTTGCTTAATAATCAACACAAAATAATAATAAACACGTTTGTAAATAAAATAAGGAAAAGTTAAACATCTAAAATTAATACATGATTCTTTTTTTTGCAATAAAATTACAAGTAAAGGAGGTATTTTTTTAAATAAATCAAGAAAGTAAAAATAAAAACAATTACAAGTTGCTAATTTTATATGTAGCTGACAATGTAGAGTTTAATAATTTATTTAAAAGTGAATTTATAAAATATTCATCTGTTTATGAGTAAATGCGTTTATTTTACTCATTTATGTTTGCTAAAATAATGTTTTCTCTCACTTAATTTTGTTAACACATATGTTATTAACACATATGCGCATGTATTCTATCTTATCCGCTTATTTTCTCCTTTTATTTGTTTGCTTTTTTCTATTTAATGTTAATAATATGATTTCATTTTTTGTATATAATTTTGATTTATCGTATCCAGAATTTTCTCCTTACGTAAAGTTCACCACTTTAAACTTACACCTCATGAACCATATATGTTAATATTATTAAGTTTCGAAACTTTTCAATTAGAAGACCAAACGTTTTCTATTTGCATACGCAACATTTGCATACACAACATTTACATACGCAACATTTGCATACGCAACATTTGTATACGCAACATTTGCATACGCAACTTTTGTTATAGAAAGGTCATTTTTTTGTAAATTAAGGCAGGAATAGACATGATTTCAAAGAAATAAAAAAACATGCATCATTTACTATTTAAGTAATTAGTGTCTGCTATTAATAATTACATGTACGCCCAGGTACGTTAAGATACCCCATCAATTTATATAAATATAGATTCTTTTAATACATGGTAATACATTTCTGTGACATTATTTGGAATATCATCCTTTAGATGATTGTGAATAGTAAGTTGTAGACATCTCAACAATGAGCAAAATCTGGTGAACTCACTTCAGAGATTTACAGGTGTTACAATCAAAACAATATGCTTTCCATTTTAATGATCGTTTTTCAATTGATCAAAAGCAACAAACACTATTTTCATGAAGTGAATAGGTAGTAAAGTTCGTAGCTAGAGTATGACTAAAGTCCAAATGACAAAGGGCAATTTTACATCATAACTTTCATTCAACAGATACAATTTCAGTAGCATGTTGAAGAAATAAAAAAGCAGCGTAATTTGGTTTTTAATATCATAACAACTGGTTTTGAATTACTCCTAATATGTCTCCTTTAAGTTCTCAGTGAATATTTGCTTACATCTGCTGACAAATTGTCTTTGAGATCAATTTTATGTCCACGTTTGACCATTGTTATTTTTATTGGAGTGTTAAAATAAACACTATATATAGCAATAGATTTAGCAAAAAATTTGTTTAAGTATTGCTACATAACAATCAATAAAAACTTTCCGAAATATTTCAATGTACCTAAATCCATTTATGAAAATCAATATAGGTCAGCCAACACTTTTTGATTAATTAATTAAAAATAGTTTTGTAAAATGTAGTATTTTTAATTTTTAGCGTCACTCAGAAGTATGCAGATTCAATTAAAAAGTATATTTTTTATTAAGTCAATTTATAAATATTTAGACCCAATACAAATACATGCCTTGTTTAATTGAAAGTTATAAAGGTTATAAGTTATAATTGATGAAAAACTATATTACAGTGATAATTATGTGCCAAAATTGAAAAACAATTTTAAAACGAATTTTACTTTGATTTTGTCTCAAAAAAGAAAACTGAGAAAAGTGATACTTCAAGTTACTTTTAACCTTCAGTTTGGACTTGACATTTATTTGTTTTAAGTTAGTGTCATCAGCAAACATGATACTCATTAAACTCGAGGCTTTGTTTAGGTCATTTATATAAATCAAGAACAATAGTGGTCCCAAAATGGAATCTTGTGCAACGCCACATAAAATATTTAGAAACTTAATTGGATGATCATTATAACCGAAAACAAAGTGTTTACGGTTATATAGATAACTTTTGCACCATTTTTATAATTTTGAAAACTATTTTATAATATTTTAGTTTGTGCAGGAAAATTTTATGACTGGCAGTATTTTATGCTTTCGAAAGGTCAATAAAAACATCTAATGTATATTTTTATTTTTCAAAAGAATTAGAGATTTCACATTTTCTGTGAAATTATATCTTTTAAAGCCGAACCGATAGTTGTTTAAAAAATTAATCATAATGAAGATAATTGTATAACCTATTGAACATAATACGTTCTAGCATATTTGAAAGGTTGGAGAAGAAAGAGAAAGGGCGAAAATTACTGATATTTGTTTGATAAACTTTATTTAAAATTGGAGCAAATTTAGCAGCTTTTAATTATTTAGGAAAAACTCATTAGCGTTTAGATGCTCCATAGACTTTAAAAAATTATATTTTTAAGAATTCAAAACATTCTATGACTATACTACAGTTTTCGATTTTTCAACCAAATTCAACAAAGAATTTATTAAAATCATGATCTATTTATATATATAAAATAAAGTGGGGCTCTTGCTTTTCAAGTTTAAAATTTATTATAATAATTAAATAGTCTTTCATTGAGAAATTTCTATTTGGTCTTCTTTAAGATTGTTGCGCTGTGAAATGTCACGCCGTGACACTAATTGTAACAACTTTTATTCTAGCGTAACAATATTTATTTATTTTAAATAAATATTTATAAATAACTTTTAACAAAAATAGGGCAAAAATATCAATAAATATTTAAATTTAAAAATATTTAGTTTTTTTGATATGTGTCTTAAGTTTAAGTCACATTGTGACGACACAGCGTGACATTTTTTGAAATTAATTTTTTTAAAGACTATTTTTTATAAAAATGTTACGCAAATAACATGTTGGTTTAACATTTGTAGCATTTTTATTTGTTGAAAAGTTTTGAAACTTCCTTTAATATAACTAACATTGTTTTTTTGTATTAAACTTGTAGGTGTACCTGTAAATTTGTTGACATATTTTACCAACACCTTTTTTATTTAGTTTTTCTTAAATTTTGTCGCGCCATTGCTAAAGTTATTCTGAGTGTTTATTGATTATACATTTCTTATAAAAAATAAACTTCTACAAACAGTTTATTTCTTTGTTGAAAGTAGTGAAAATGCCTCTGACACATGCTGAACTTCAGAGAAAGTATAGAGAAAGACAAATGCACAAATTTGGTCCGGATATTACAAAAGAAAAGGACTCGATTCTGAAAAAGGAAAAACAAAATTCTAATATTGAATTAGCACGTTTAAAGGACATGTTAAGAAAAAAAAAAGAGTAAAGTTTTTTCATCTAGAATAACATCTAACATCTCTCCTGCGCACAAATCATCTTGTACACTTGGTAAAATTTTTAAAAAAGCAATATGTACTCTTTCAACTTCTCCTTTTTTGCTTTTTTTAGAAAACGCTATCATTAAACTAAATTTTTTTTCGTGATTTAATTTATTCATTTATTGACTAAAGTTTAGTAATATGATAGTATTACTAAACTTTGCTCAATAACTTAATAAATATAATTTTATTAAACAAAGTAAACTTAGACATTCTTAACATAAATTTTTTTTTATCAAAACACCGTAACAATAATTGCTTGTTTTTATGTTAAGTAAGTATAAAGAAGAACAAACAAAAAAAAAAGAAAATGTTAAAGTTTCTAATTTGAATAATTACTTTTATTTTTAGGAGTAAATGGGAATCCAGGCACAGTCTCTTTTAAATCAGCAGTTTACAGTGATAGATACCTTCGACATTATAGTTTTATATTTTATCTTCAAACTTTATTTGAATCAAATAGTGGTCCCGATGATCGTTCATTCTATATTCAAAATAGTACATTTGATTCATATTTTTTAATACAGTCAACAAACTTTCCTAATTGGTTTCTTTGGCGCAATGGTTTTCAATTTCAATTAATACAAGACATGACATTAGCTCCAGAGTCAAGATTTACTTTTTTTGTTTGTGGTATGTTATTTTTACTTTTATATCGTGTATAGAGTAAAATGGGGTCAAATGGAATAGTTAAGGATTTTAATTAATAGTTTTTTATAGAAAAAAGATTTTTTTTTTTTTTTTAAGTTGTATAGAGTATTGAGTTGTATTTAAATATATAAAAATTTAACAAATTTTTTGTAAATTTTTTTATGAAACTTTATTTGATTAAAAAAAGTATTCTTTCATTCTACACTGACGTACGGGGAGAATGAAACACGCAAATATAAGTGTAATTAAAACAACACTAAATTAAAAAAACAAAAAGCAATAAATAAAAACAATTAAAAAAACAATCAATAGTAACAATTTAAAAAATTAATTAAATAAAATAAACTTTTTTACTCTTGTGGTGATGTTGAGTTGTTTAGAAGTATTAGAGGTTGAGCTGAGTTTTTACTTGTGCGGCACTTTTTGGTGAAATAAAACTCAGCACCTTTTACGTATCGCTTTGATATGCATGTTTGACAATTTTCACACTGGTACCATTCCATATTTTGACTTGCTGAAGTTTCGCCCAAAACTTTTCGGCAGTTTTAACAATTGAATTGGTTTTCAGCTAATATTTTCGTTAGACTTTTGCTTGTTTTATTTGCTGTTCTCCATTAAAGCTAAGCTTATGTTGGTTTTTGGTTTGCTTTGCTGCTCTTTTGATCTTATCATCCCTTAACCTTTAAGTATTTCAGGTTTGTTCATTTCCCTTTGAATCTTGACACATCTACACTTTTTTTTTTTTTGTTTTAACATGTTGGATACAAAACATTTGTATCCAACATGTTAAAACGGCTAATTGCAGTTGTTTTGTAACTTCTTTCTGAATTTCCTTTTGAATAGCCGGAGTAACTACTATATTGAAGGTTGTATGCAGACAAGGTGACCGCAACAAGAGAGTAACTATTTTATTCATTTAATAGAACCATTTTCTAAAAGCAGTAATTAAAAGTCATTCAAATTCAGTTAGAAAAGTTAATATACTGAAATTTGTACAAAATATTATTAGTTGCAGATTTATTGGTCACTTGAGACATGTCGAATTTAAGATTGTTGTAAAAACCAGATCGAACAGTAATAAGAACCGTACGCGTCATGTGACGTTGTTTCTTATATTGATTGGTCTGGATTTGAGATTGCAAAGCATTATTGTTAAACCACGTTTTTTACTTTTCTTGTTTTTTATAATGTAGCAATATTGGTTTTTTAGATTTTACTAATTAAGTACGTTATCTTGTATTTTGTTAAAGAATATAATATTGAACCAGTTTCAGTCTGATTTTAAAAGAAACGAATACGTTTTTTTTTATGGTGCCGAAATCCATATTTAATCAAAGATATTATTTGAGAGATTTATTGATTATAAAGACATTGTTTACAGATTTATTGATTTATTAAATATTTTTTGCCGATAGCCTCTTTAGCGAAGAAAAAACAAATAAGAAATGGGCATCGACTTTATCTGAGAAAGTTGTTTGCAGAAATCGATGAACGATTTAAAATAACTTAAAAAGATAAACTTATTATTGACTACTTTTGAAAATAAACAAGTGATGTTATAGACTTTAGACGATGAAGTTATGGACTTACTGGGAAACGAAAACATTTTATTCGAGGTTGAGGATACAATTTCATGGACTGAGAATATACTAACATAGAGAATTTACGGTTTCTTAGTAGAGAGGTGAAAGATTTTGAAAAAGATTTATCAACTCGAAGTGTTTCTTCAAAAATATGTATGAAGCGTCCAAAATTAATAATTCAAAGTTTTTCAGGCAATATATTATCGTGGAAAAGTTTTAGGAATCAGTTTTCAACTGCAATTGACAGCAACGAAGATCTTTCAGATATAGCAAATTTCAACTATTTAAAATCATATCTTTCTGGAAGAGCACAAAAGCTAATTGAAGGACTAACACTTAGCCAGGATAATTGTTTGGATAAAGGTTTGGAAATACCCCATGTCTCATTGCAGTTTATATAGATGACCTCCAAAAAATAAACCCAGTGCAAAATTTAAAAGAAGTATCAGAACTCCGTCAAATGTATGACAAGCTTGAAACAAATATAACAAATTTAAAGGATCTAAATGTTAAAGCATGTACTTATGGATCCCTTCTTGTACCCATTATCTCAGAAAGAATTCCACGAGAATTATGCATTATTATTTCAAGACACTTTAAAAATGATGATTGGAACTTAAATGAATATATGAATGTGATTAAGACAGAACTAACAGTTTCACAGCTTTAGAGCGTTGTGAAACTGTTACCAAAACAAGTCTCGAAGTAGAGGAAAATATACCAATTACATTACAGAATCTGCATAATAATTGTAAAAGACATAATCAGCACCACTTGAACAATAGTCAAAAACGTTTTAACTATGACACTATTTCTAGAAGTAATCAAGAAACTAGAGACACTTGTGTGTTTTGCAAAGAACGACATTTTTCATTTAGATGCAGAAATATAACTGACATAAACAACCGTAGAAATATAGTTTAAAAGGAAAGCAAATGCTTTGTTTGTTTGAATCGAGGACACAAAGCAAATTTTTGTCGATTAAATTATGCGTGCATTAAGTGCAAAAAAAAGCATAATATATCTTTATATGATGCTGAAAGTAATAAGGCTTTAAATCAATCGTTATCAGAAGTTCAAAGTTATTCAATTACTCATCAAAACCAGCATACAGATACAAATAACCATGTTATTTTACAGAATGCCAAAGCTACAAACCCTGATAATAGTTTATCCAATTGTATTAGAATATTATTTAATAGATGCCGTCATCGAACTTAAATTACAGATACATTATGTAACCAATTGAAGTTGAAGAAGATACGCACAGAAAGTTTAATTATAAAAAAATTTGCATCAGATGAAGACCTAATCAAGACACTAGATGTTGTCTGTGTTTGTTCAAAGGATAGAGATCCAAATGATAAAATTTATATGGAGACATTATGTATTCCTTTTATATGTTCAGCTTTAAAAAATTCCAACTTCAATCTTTTGCAACAAAAACATGTTTACTTAAATAGAATCCCTTTCGCTGAATTTTTTCCATTAAAGAACAGTGAATCTGTTGAAATGCTAGTGGGTTTGGACTATTATTACTCAACAACTACTGGTCAAGTGATAAGAGGTTGCAATAATGGTCCAGTTGCTTTTGATAGTATTTTAGGATGCATTATTTGTGGTCCAATTGACATTGGTGGACTTGAAAGTTTTGTTCAAACTAATTTGGTGTCGACTTCACAATCATATGATGATATTTTTAAGTTTGAGTTACAAAAATTTTGGGAATCTGAATCCAGTGATTTCCAAGAGCAAGAAAAAATTTTACCAGCAAATCAAGAATGACATTACTTTTAATGGGGAACGGTATGTGACAAAGCTACCATTGAAACCAAAGTGTGAATTTTCACCTGATAATTATAACATTAGTTTAAAACAGCTTACTTCATAACAAAGAAAGTTTGAGAAAAATATTGAAATAAAACAACGATACCAAAAAGTAATAACCTCATATGAAAATGGAAACATTATAGAGAGAGTGTATGATCCAGGTGTACCTGGAAAAGCTCATTATCTAACTCAGCGTGCAGTAATTCGTGACGATAAAGAGACAAAAAAGTTGCGTGTAGTGTTTGATGGTTCAGCAAAAGAGAATGGTCCTTCAATCAATGATAGCTTGTATACTGGACCATGTTTCCTGACATGCATATATAGTACACTTTTATGTTTTTGCATGTTCAAGATAGGTCTGATATCTGATATCCCCCAAGCGTTTTTAAATGTTGGTATATGCAACGAGCATAAAGAGTTATTGAGATTTATATGGTATGATGATAAGAATAACATGTTAATTATTTACCGTTTCTTGCGGTTAGTATTTGGAATCACTAGCAGTCCTTTATTGTTATACTACTATTGTAAAACACATGGAAAATTATTCAGATAAAATTTAAGAGTTTACAAAAATATTTTTAAGAGACTTATATGTTGATGATTCTACGGTTGTTGTGAACACAGTGAGTGAAGGTATTCAATTTTATGAATTTATAAAAGAAGCTATGAAAAAAGGAAGGTTTAATCTTCGAAAATAGTTTAGTAATTCACCAGAGTTAAGCAAGTACATTGCAGATAAAGAGAAAAAGAAATCCTTGCTGAATGAGAAAAATAGCTATGCAAAGTTTAAATTAAATAGAAGTAATGATATGGAAGTTAATTGTGTAAGAATTTTGGGATTATTATGGAATGGTAAAAGCGATGAGCTTGAGTTTAAATTTTCGGCTATTGTACAAGAAGCCTTGACTTTGCCCTTTACTAAAAGAAATTTGCTTAGTGTAGGAGCTAAATTTTATGATCCATTGGGTCTTATTTCACCAATTGTTATTGTGACAAAACTATTATTTCAAGCTTTGTGTATTGATAAACTTGATTTGGATGATAAATTACCTTCTGAAATTCATGAAAAATGGTTAACGTATTTAAAAAGATTAGAAGTTATTTCCAGCATAATTGTTCCAAGATACTGTTTTAAAGAACTAAACGATAAAATAAAGTTTGTTACTTTGCATGGTTTTAGTGATAGCTCTCAAGTTGCTTATTCAGCAGTTATATATGCTCAAGTAAGAACCAAGGAGGGCTGGATGTCTAAGTTGATAACCTCAAAGACCAGGCTGTTTGGCTGTTTGTTATTAGCTAATTTGATGAACAAGGTTGTTCAAGAATTTAAAAACATTTAAATTGTTAAGAAAATTTATTATTGGACAGATAGTGAAATAGCTTTATCTTGAATAAAAGAATCTAAAAGAGACTAGAAGCCATGGATCCAGCATCGTGTGTCTAAAATTTAAGAATTGAGTAGCAAAAATGATTGGTTCCATGTTGCGGGAGAAAACAATCCAGCAGTTAATCCGACTAGAGACTTTAATATGTTAACGTTTCAGAGCAATTGCTTGTGGTGGGAAG